CCCCCCGTGAAATAATTTCTTATATTAATGTGGCTTTTCTCTGGTTGTATTCTTAGCTGAAAAATATTTTTTCTCTGCCTCTGTATAAAACATGCCTTTAGGCAAAATTGGGAGGCTGAGTCCTGCATTGTAAAAAGGACTGAAATGGACTTCTTCACATAGTAGTAAATCAGCAATGTACTTGTCTTAGAAAATTTTCACTTGAATTTACTGTCTTTGCAAGCAGAATAAAAAGTATACTTATGTCTGAAGATTGGAATGGTATTTCTGTATATTTGCAGTTGTTAGAGACTTGTTATTTTATGTTGACTTCTCTTGACTAGTTGCTGTTTAATTAATGAACTTGGGTTTTATTTTTGTGTTGGTGATTTATTGGCGTATTTTCTTGGTTATTTGAATAAACCTTTCTAAAGTGTAACAGTTTATTTGGTTACCTGGCGGTAAGCAAAGCCTGTTTTCTTAATGGACAATAGGTAGTAGATTTTAGTGCTCAGAAAATCATTGTTTGCCCGATTTTTTTCTATTCTTATTCTGTCAGCTTTGAGAATCTGAAAATGTCTTTGCAATTAAGTGCCCATAGGTAGTGCTTCTTGTTTCTATCAAATACATATTTTAATCTTTCATAGTTAGCATGAATTTAAGGGGGGTGGTGGTGGCAAGCTTTGTTTCACCTAATACATTGAAAAATTGTGGATTAGAGTGTTTCAGTCTTGAATTGAAAAAATGTAAATGTCCTGATGTTAAAAAAAGAAATTAAAAAATCATGTGCTGTAACTAAAAACTAAAACAAAGAGCCTTGCAGTATCCTAGCCTGAACCGCTGGTCAGTAAGAAAGCAGATTGTTGAGACTTTCCAGTTTAGTTCCTGGTTCTATAATGAACATGTTTTTACCGGAGCAGTGACGTAATGCCTGTCCCTTTTTCAGCTTCCAGAAGAGGATTGGTACTTCTATGCCCGCTTTTTCCTTTCTCTGAATTGGAAGCAACATTATCTTTCAAAATGCTTTTTGATACAGAAATCATAAACATGACTTGTAAAATCAGAAGATAGACTATTTAGTAAAACCTGGGAATGCCTACCAGAAGTATCATCTGATATAGCTTGAAAAAGCCTATCTGTAATGTTAGTTTTGTATCATATTACTTGCTCTTGTTTGCAAACTTTATTCCCAGGAAGTTATATTTTTTGTTAAGGGAATATTTAAAGTTAAAATTGGGTGTAAAATTCAGAAATAGGGTAAAAATATATTTTTTTTTTTTTGTTTCAAACGTTTTGTTTTAGAGTGACCACAGTGTTTCCTTAAATATAGATGCCTGGTCTGTTCTTCTCTAAATAAATATTATTTGTTGCCTTACAATGAGCCTTTAGAAATACACTTTTTTTAAACTGTTAAGATTATATGATGCAGTAGATCTTCCTTCTCTTGTGTTTGTTTCCCAGATGCTTTAATGTCTTGAGAAAGCACGTAATATTTTTGTACTCATAAGATACAGTAGTAGGTAGCAGTTTGAAATAAATATCACTTGGCAAAGTTTTCCAGAAAATAATTTTTTAAAATCAGGTTGCTGTACTGGTGAGCATGCTTCATTTTTTGCATACAACCTTTATCTTTTCTTAGGGACTTCAGTGACTTTTCAGAGTTTACTGTGATAGCTGTTACTAACAGTATCCACTGATAGATGCAGGTATATGTTGCTGTTGAGTTTGGAGGAAAGGTTGAATTCAAACAGTTGTTACCTCTGTTTGATGGAGCTGTTGACATGACTTTTTCAAGGTACTGACACGGTTGTAGACTATTGCTAACTTAAAAACTGATATAATGTGGTCTTCTTTACACTTTATATATCACAATTCCCCTGATGATAAACAGAGCATTATCATTTTCTTTGGTGCTTTCCTGGCCAATCTTGTGTTGGACTTAACTGTATGTGTAGCTAAAAAGTCATTAGTGTATAAAATGAAAGCTTGTTTCTGCTTGCAGTGATGAGAATAAAAATGTTATTGTAGTCACTGATCATACGGGGAACTAATATTTATGTAGCAGTTGTAGAATTTTTCATATTTACTTGTTTTTGTTGCGTGCTTTGTGTATTACAAGTTCAATTTAGTGTTACAGATATTTTGTCTTCTGTTCTTATGTCAGGTTTCATTTAGGTAGAAGGAAAACTAGTGATTCTATGAAGTCTGTATATAGTCTTTTTTCTTTTTTTTTTTCTTTCCCCAGCACAACTAATCTTGCTTTCCATATAGTTGAGCTCATTGTTAACAAAGTAGGTAACATGGAGGAAAGAAAATTGGGGAAATATTTTCAGGCATTTTTTCAGTTAGAGGGCTCATAAATGTAACTTGTCAGAAGTGCATGTATAAAATTTTAAGATTAAGTGTGCATTTTAATAGCTTTATAAATACTTGTTGAACCTTTTGGTTTACAGTAACTAATCTCACATCTGATTGTATTTTATGGTCAACTGGTTCCTCTGGTAACTTGTAGGTGAAAGAGTAGCGCAGTCTGTTACGAATCTACCTAAAGTGTGTTACGTGGATGTTGAAATACATCAGTATGTTAAGATTTGTCAGCTTCTCCTATGAAATACCATTGAGAGGTTTGGATATAACCAGTTCCGTAAAAGCTGAATGAAGCATTTATAAAACTTGTAAAAATACCAGGCTTATTTTTGGTTCTGAAAAGACTTTGAAAAGTATTAATTCTGAGCAAAATAACTTTTAATTAGTATATGAAATACGATGAAAGTGTATTTTTACTGCTGAAGTTAAATTTTTTTTAGAAGTTCTGGACTGCTTTTCAAATTTTTGACTATTTAATAACTTGGCTAAGAAAGCTCAGCTTAGAGGAAATTTTCAGCTTGACAGGACTTCTTTTTAGCACTGAACCCTTCAACCCATCACTTGATTGATATTGTCTCTCAAATTGGTTTTATGTTTAGTAGCTGAGTAGTTGTGGTGTTGAATGTTTGCTTCTGTAAGACGATGCTTTAAATCCTTACTGTCTTTACATATCTAGAGTTCTGGGTTAAATGCCTTCCAGTTTTATTCAGTGTTGGAAATGGCGCATATACTTCAGATGACTGTCATTTATCACAGTGTAACATATGTGCACTTCTTACAGTAGGTTTTCTAAATCACTTTGCAGAACCATGATAGCAAATGGTTATGTGAACAGTTAAGCCCTTGTCATTGAGGGAGTGATAATCTTTAGTCAGAGGGAGGAGAAAAGGTAGGAATAGGCAGCTGGAGACAATAACCACTGAAACTCCTATGCTACACCCATAGTAGCTCATCAGGCTGTGCTCTAGAATGATGTCAATAAAAGGTTCTTGCTTTTGGTGTCTTTATGTGAGTAATTGGTTTTTGTTTTGTAGCCAAGTATAGAAGAATAAGACATTTGTTACTAAAAATAAGTTGTTTTTCACACTAGGAAATGTTTTGATGCCTCTCTTGCTATCCAAAATATTTCATTTATAAATTGACATTGTGTGGGTATTGTCCCAATGAACAATGAAGAAGAGCACTGGATTTTTCCCCATTATTTAGGCCTCATCTCAAGTACAGAAGTTTATATTGACTCCAATTTTTGCTTTTTCTTTAACCAGCGTTTCCATGTGCCTTTCAGCATTTCTATGCGCCTTCCAGCAGATGACAGGCAGTCTATGGATCAAATTTCAGAAACCATTTGCCTAAAACATTTGTGTAAAAATGTCTGAAGTAGAAATCATATTTGTCAGGAGGGAAAATGAGTTAAGATGTCAAGGCTGAGGGACGTAAAGACGTGTGAGAAACAACTGCATGCGAATGCATGAGAAACTTCAAGCCACAGGGACGTTATTGTCGTGGCAAGATTTAACAATCTCAGGAGTGACTGTAAAAAGTAATGAAACTTGGGGAGCATTCCCTGCTTGCTCAGTAGTTTGTTGGCTATGTTTTCTGTTGGTGTTAGAGAAAAATTTAGTAAAAAGAATGCTTGGCATGTATCATACCTAGGAATAGATTTGTATTTGACAGAGGCACTGAAATAAGTTAGAAGTTGCAATAGTACGTTCCAAAAGGGATGCTTTGCTTCAGATTTTTAAAAGCTGTTGGGAGGGAGCTTCTTATCCTGTAACTGGTCTATGCTGGCAAACTGCAAATCCCACAGAATAAATTGCAAAACTGGAACTGAAATACAGATGTTTCAGCTGTTTAGATAAATGCTAATAGAGTATGGAATTATCAGGATAAAAGGAGTTAATCCTGGAAGAGCTGTATACAATAGAAATACCCTTTTCAAGGAAGTTTTTTCTTTGCAGATTTCTTAAGCAACACAACAATTGTATGAAGCTTGGCAGTATATTCACTGTTATACGCCATTAAGAATTCTTACAATGCGAAGATGTGAAGGACTGTGTGAAATTTGTTTGGAGTATATTTTGCTTGAATGTATTTTAAATTAAAAATTAGTATTTATACAACACAGTAAAAATCAGTTAATCATTGTTATAATAAGAAAACTAAAGAGAGGAAAGAAATAGCACTACTTAAAGTCCTTTAAGTGGTTAAGTACCAGTTAACCTACAAAAAAGGGTATTTATTGAAAATTCTGTATGACACCAGGAAGGATAGTGTTTATAGCAATAATGGGGTTTTTTATGTATCTTGAAAAAAAAAAAAAAAAAGAAAGGAAGTGAGTTGATGTACTAGGCTCTTAGATATGTCATCGTTCTGGTTGTGAGTTTTCAAGTTTTATGCCTACTGGAACTAGGAAACCTTTTGAAATCTCAGGCTTCTGTTAAACAAGAATGCCAGATGCATTAGTGTAACAAAATACCTTAATAAAAGGTCTAAATTAAGGAAGAATTTAATATTTCTAATATGGGAGAGTGGAAACTCAAATACATGCATTTTTAAAATTTGAAACCGACTTAAGGTCTTTCATAATGCTTTGATACTAAATTCTGAAGAGATCTGACTCCTAGAGTTCTATAAAAGTACTCAATTTTGAACAAGCTAACTTGTTTTTAAAAGAAGTGAAACAATCCTACTTGAGCACATTTCTGTTGCATCATCAGTTAAAACTGGGAGAAAGATTAATGATAGATATCTGTCGAGGTTATTCGTACATTTGAGCTATAATAGCAAAACTATAGCTTGGAGCAGTTTTTTTTATAAAGCAATATGCTGCTTTGTGACAAATGCTTTAGGAAGAGAAACTGCAGATCTGTGTACTTTCAATTCAGTGTAAATTTGTAGGTAGGTATATGTTACAATTGTCTGTTTTTCTTTTTAGGGCTCATGTAATCAAAGGAGTTTCTTTGTTGTGTGTATCTTTTCAGAACACAACAGGAATTCAAAATGAATCAGGTGAGTATAAATGTAAGACTTTATCAAAATACTTAGATGTTAGAACAGTTAATAATTAATAAGAAAAGTAAATAATCCACTAAAAAAAGAAATGTTCTTTAAAATCTTCAGTGTCATTAAATTTCAGTCTTCCCTTCCACAACATGTATGTTTGAGAGATTTATTTTATTTCATGGATTTAAGTTTTTTGTGTGTGATTTCCCTTTAGCAGCATGTAAGTTATTGCTGCTGGCACCTCTTATAAGAACACCTCTCCAGAAAAATCTATTTTCAACCTGAGGCTTTTGGTAATAATTCAGCTCCTTATGAAAGTGGCTTGAAAATTGAAGGCTTCCACTTCTTTTTTTAACCTTTCTTAACCACTTTACCATTTCAAATGTGCAGTGAACTATCTGTCACAGAAATGGGTTGATCAGGAAGTTTTACACTTTTCTGGAACCCCAAGTGTTTCCTGTAGAATCAAGTGAAAATACTGGGAAAGTGCATTTCTTTTGTGAGGCACTACTCTGCTATATGGATGCAAGAATATCTTGACAGGAGGGTGTTGTTTTAATCAGTGCCAAGTGTACGTGATTTTATTTTACATTTGTCTATCCAGGTAGGAATAATAGATCTGTTTATCTCTCACGCACAATTGGATTACTTGGGTACCTATAGAAAAAGTACATGTTGTCTTAAATTTTTCTCGTAAGTACTTTTCTCTTTGGGTGATCTTGAAAAGCTTTGGTATGAGAATGTGGACAGAGGATACTACACTGAAGAAATGCCCTTTTTTAATTTGCTAAAAAAGTCATCTGAACAGAAGCTTTCTTAACCAGAAACAACCATGGTACACAGTCATGTAAAACACTTTGTATGCTTTTTTTATTGATGCCAGTATCTGTGCATGTTTTTATTGCCCTTCATGCCCTTATTTGATTAGCAGTGGCACTGAATACGGTAACCACTTTGCTGAAGTATGTTCTCACTGAAGTTACAGAATCATACACATAAGTAATTACTGTGTGAATTGGATTGGTGAGTTGTTTCCTGTTGCTTTTTTCCTCTGATTTAAAGTAAAACAATCTTTAATATCTGTGGGTGTATTTAAAACGTAAAAAGCAAAATTTAATCTCTATCAGAGCCTTGAAATATGTATTGAAAAAATACATATTTGTATTATATCTATATGCATATAAAATATTTTGTATATATAATAGAAATAACATTTGAATTAGCACACTTTTAAACATTAGTTGTCTAGTTTGGGGTAGCTGGGTTAACAACTGCTTTGCAATCTATTTCTGTTGAGACTGGAAATTTTTTGACCTGTAAGGTTAGCTTTGAATGCACTCAGGGGCATGAAGTGAACAGCCTGTTGCTTTGTCTGCCTGAGAAATAATCCTGCTTTATTAGTTGTTCTGATAAGCTTTGGATTTTCCTAAAGTTCTGAAAGCTGTAGATCCTAATCTTTAATTGTTGTCATTGATATTCTTCCCATTTGTCTGTCCATGTCCCCTCGTGTCCTGTCTGTCATCATGTTCCCCTGCCCCTGATCTATTTCTAGAATTGAGATTTCTGTCCTGTATCAAAACAAAGTCTTCATCTTCCTTATTGTGACTGCTAATACTGTTTATGCAGTGCTGTGATGTATGTCATCTTACAATTAAATAATGAGATGACCCTGCCTCTGGGAATAGTTACAATAGCTTAGAGTCCTCCTTGGTGTTTCTGCCTTTCACATTTAGTTTCCGAAGTATAGAGAGCTCATATGGCTTTTTATTGTTCAGTTACCATTCATATTAAGTGTGTGTTTAGCATCAACCCTGTGGTGTTTTTTTCTTGCAGTGCCCTTGTCATTTCATTTACTGTTGACAAGTTATAGTGCCAGGTCTGTATAAGAAATGTTTTTGCCAAACATCTTTCAAGTGTTATGTTCTCATATTTCTTTCATTCTGCTAATCTCTTCTTTTGGTGTGATTTCAGTGACCCTGAAACTAACTGGGCTATTGTTAATTTAGTTTATATGAAAAGACTGCTAGTTTTGTTGTTTATCCCATAGAAATCTTGAAGTAGTGAAGGAAAGCCTTTTCATATATAAATACTTCAATGTGGCTGCCTTGTAGGATTAAGGAAAAAAAGCAGCTGTTGTTGGAATTAATATTTTTGGGTTTCTTGGAAGATTCCTGTCTCAGGGTAGACGGTATGTGTTCTCTATCTGTTTTAAAAAGAGGTCTTCCTTTAATATGTAAACTACTTCATCAGAATATGCTGAATAATTTATTTTAAAAAACCCAAGCAAACAGGGGTTTTTGATTGGAGGCATTTACTGTGTCTCAGACTGCATTCAGGTAGGGTACAAAGGAAGTTGTGTGATACATGGAAAACGGCACAGGCAGTTATTGAAAAAACGGTGAGGCATCTGTTAAATTACATCTACACTTGTACTAAAACTCCCTCCTCCCATTCCTTCTGAATTTGAGAATGATTATTTCAAATATTTCTGATTAATTTTCAAGCACACATAGTGAATCTTGTCAAAGAGGGGTAGCCAGATAAGGTTGTTGGAGAAGCAGAGACCTTTCTGCTTCCAGCTTACCTTTCTTGTGCTATCTGGCTGTTTGCATCAGCAGTCTTCCTTAGTCTCCTTTTCACATCTACGTCTTCTAACTTCTCTGCCATGTCCCTCTCAACTTCAATGGCATCCTTTCCTTTATCTTTTCATTTATCTTAATCCTATTTCCACCGACACATGACACTAACTGAATGTTTGCCATTCATTACACTGTTCAGGCTGATTTTTTATTTTCTTTTCACTCTAATCTCTCAGGTTTTATTCTGTAGGTACTGTTTCTACTCTGTTTAAATACTGCTTGTAATATTATAGTCTAATTTGTGGTTGGTCCATAGGTACAATTTTATTAAAAGTGGTGTGAAAAAATGTTTAATCAGTGTGTTGAAAGGTACTGTCAAAGTGATTGGACTCTGAATTCAATGCAAACAGAAAAAGATAAGTTTCAGTGAAGGCACCCCTTCAGCCCTTAAATGATTTTTGCATTGCTCTTAAGTCACTTCACCCCTGCTAATTTGAATGCTAACAATGTAATATTTCTGATGAACATCAGATTAAAAAGCTTAAAAGTGAAAAAAGCTTCAAGTGCTTTTGTATTCAAAATTGCAGTCTTGGAGTGAGTGAAAAATACCATATTAGGACTTCAGTTAAATGCAAAAGTTGTCTTAGGACATACACCAGTACACTATCCTTATCAAGAGGTGAATTTTTTAAATAGAAAAATAATTTAAATGTGATTGTTAAGTGTCGGTGGAAAAGTGATTGAAATGCAGTATTTCTTCATTTTCATAGACAGACATTCCTTGGGGACAAGTTGTGATCTGGAAAATGTTTTAAGTCGCTACATTTAAATTGCTAATAAAATGAGATTACACTGGTTTGACTAAACTAAATAGTTGTTTATTTTACTGTATAGTATTTGGTTACTTATTACCATTCGTTTGAGGTGTGAAATTTAATGTGATGTATTAACCCATATCTAGTTTTCTGGTACTTGTGAAGTCCATTAAAGAATGGCAGGTGGTGTGTGAGTCTGAGTGCTGTGTTCTCTGAATGTAGCTGCTAATCTTTGGTTTATGTAGGTAGATGCAAAATAAAGTTCTGATTGTGTAGTACTCCGTGCAAACAAACTTCTTAAATGACAGAACAGTTTGAGGATATTTATGCCTAAAAGGGGGTGTGACTATTAAGGAATATGTCAGACACATTGAAGAATGTGACACAATGCTGTACTCTTTGGTCTAAGTCAGTTAAGTCTTGATTTTTAAAGTTTTGGGAGGTTAAAATTTATTTGTAGGCTTGAGATTTTTAACTTCTCAACTAGCTATTGTTGTAAAATAAACCAAAATATAAGAACAAAAGTAAACCCCCCCAAACAAACCAAACCCCAAAATGAAACCCCCAAAAAATCACCCCACTGCTTTTAGCTTTAAACTTGAAGTGCATTGTCTTGTTCACACTCTGTAGTCCCCCCCATCTATGCCTATATATAATTTGTTAGAAACTACTGTGAAAAATAGGCTTGGTTCTCCTCTAATGAAATAATGGGGTAATGTACTGGAAAGATATTTAGGTTTCTTTGATATGCTGAGAAGAGCGTGGGTTTTTTTGTTTGTTTGTTTGATGAGACATGGTTTCTTGTGTACCAGTTCAAGGCTAACAGATATCTGAAAATCAGACTTCTTTCATCACTATTTTTCCTTTTGGATTGTTAGAAGAGCAAAATAAAACTTTGCTCTGCTTTGAGTAGTCTTGAGCTATTATAACTAAATAATAAGGATTTCTGACCCCCTTCCTTGGTCTCTTCACTCACTTGGATGAGAAGGGATTTCTGGCATTCTATTCCTTCCATGGTTTCCAATTTGGGGGTCTTTCTCCCCTGCAAATAGCTCTGTAGGATGTGTCTGTGCAGCTGTTAGGGCTTACCAAGGCAGCAATAGAATAACCTTGCTATGACTCCAGTTTTAATTATTTTTCCTGTTGTTGCTGTTCAAGCTGACAGAAGACGTGTTCTTGCAACTTAGCAAGTCACATTCATAAATGTAGAGAGTAGTTGCCATACACAGCACCCTCACAAAGAGTAGGTGCTAAGAAGAAAGGTTGAGAAGCTTTATCTGTTTTCCTTTAGAAATAAGACCCTTAAATTTGATATTATATAGAGATGTGTTTAAAAATACATTTGCAGTAAACTTTCAGTGTATTTCATAAATGCTCAGTGGAAAATGCTCTGAGTATTACTTACTATATGAAAACTACTATCATATCTCTGCTTTATGGTTGTATGTAAAAGGAAGAATAATTTCCAGAAAGTCTGAGTTTCTTTGGACAACTGTAGTGTTGCCCAAGTTGTTGTTATTTCTCAGTTTAACACCTCCTAAAGCTTGTTCAGAGCTTAAGTGTAACATCCTTCATGTTAGAGTAGTTACTACCATCACCACCAGTATTTGTTTCTGACCAGAATGATCAAAGTTCGATGTCAGAGGGCAGGTACGTTTTTTTTTAGAGCTGTTGTACATGGTTCAACATATGCCTAGTTCTCACCAAGCCCAGTTCTTTCAAAATGTGGACAGATTTCATAGGAAACTGTGCATGCTTGTAAATTTGAAATTCAGGTCATTTTAATCAGGAATAGTGTTTTGTTGATGATAATTAGGTAATAGAGAGCTAGTTGTTTAATGACAAGTGTGAGTAGCATTTAACTGTTGTGTTATACTATTATGTGTATGATATTATAGGCAGCCTATTGAACCTTGTAGGCTCTTTAAAATGGAACTAATCACTTACTAGACAGTCATAAATCATTTACTAGGTTTCTATTGCCCTTCAATCTTTTAATATAAAAATAACCTTAAAACCTTTTATATTAATTGTAACCTGCTGGCTAAGAATTCTGAGCTGTTAATTTATTTAGGATATTGAAATAGTAGCTTCTCTGACATTATTTAAAACCCTTTATTCTTGATAAAAGCTGCTTTTGACTTATTCTCTGTGTTGCAGAGGAGTAACGACATGTAGATACTTCAACACCAGTTTTTGGAATGAAACAACGTGATTGTAGGTTGTAAATAGAGCACTAGAAAGACAATAGACCCAGTAGTAGCTCTGTGAAGTACATTAAAGTACAAGGTTCCACAGTTCCACATGTCAGCTACTCTACCATAAGGGTATTGCGCACATAACTTATCTCCAATATATGCTGGATAGCTTGTCTCTGTCCACCTAATGTTCAGTACTGGGTAGTACAAGATACACATGTTTATGGCAGAGTAGATTTTGTATCCCAAGTACTTTTTCATATATACATTGTTGTAGTTAGCTTACTGCAACAGCCTCGATTTAATAGGTAAAATGAATAATTTTTCATTTTTTGTGAACTGTATGTGCTTCTCAGAACTTTTGAGTATGGTTTTCTCTTTAAGTTTCTGTTTAGTTTTTACTCAGTAGTGTTACATTTTCATGTAAGGCAATACTGGAAACTATTTCAGATTGGGTTTTGGGGACTGCTTAGATTGAGTGTGCCTGGAAGTCATCATTTGAAAAGGGGAAATAAAGAATTGCTAATGTATGTGAAATTATCCTCAGTATGGTGGGCAGCTGACGTTCTGGCTTTGCGCTGTATTTCCAGTCATCACTTACTTGTGTTTCTAGGCAAGTTATTCCTGTTACTGAAGCTTTACGTTATCCTTTCCTTTATCCAATCCACAGTTGTTTCATTTGGAACTTTTATGTGCATGTTTAGGAAATAATTGACAAAATTATAATGGTCTGGACCCTCAGACAATAAGTGCTCTAGATCTGGAATTGCCCTTTCTTTTGAAACTTTGAGTTGTCTTTATACTTCAAGCTGAAATACCAGTTAGCTTTCATTCTGAACACAAACAGCATGAAACTAGGGTATACTCGAGAAAACTGCAGTGTATCTCAGATTTCACTTTAAAAAATTGAAAGATTCTTGAAAAAATACATAGAAAATGGAAAATGCTTAGAATTGTGTGTTAAGTGAAAATAAATGTTTTTAGAACTTAACAACTTTTAGCATTTAATTTCCTGCTTCTCTATTAATAGACATGCCTTTAATAGTTAAATTTTTTTTTCTTGCTATTGGTTACCATTACTTTTTATGGACAGATACTTATGTTAAGTCAAACAGAAAATGAAACAGATGGTTGGTAAAACATAAATGTTTTTCCAGTCATCCTTTTCATTAATGCTGTCAGTTGTAATAAAGATAAGCTACACACCACACCTCTGAAGTGGATCCAGTCAAGCCTGCATGGTTTTACTAACCTTTACTGAAATTTGCTTGCTGAGGGTCACAATGGAGAAACTGCTTTACTGGCTCAAGCAGGTTTAGTTGATCCATATTTGTTCTACATTTTGAAACAGAATTTGCAGAAGATAAGTGTCTAGGTGTTAAGAATAGACAGTGGAATGCCATTGCTGATGTTTTAGTGCAGAACTGGTATTATACTTCTATTTTAGGGACTTAGAGTTTCAGTTTTTGAGAAAACCAAGGATTCTAAAAAACTGTCAATAGGATGGTTATGAAATAAAATTTTAAAAACCTCATATTCCTCCGGTGTTCTGGCTGTTTTAATCAAATTAGTGCATTTTAGCATGGTGGTTCACTTCCCTCTTACTTTAATTGCCAGTAACATGTTTCAACGGTGCAATTTGGACAAATTGTGAACATGTCCTGAAACACTTCTAACAACTTCCCTCATCTTCTGACTATTTGGAATTCAGAAAGTACACAGCTAACCAAGATGTCTACTAAAAGCATCATGTGTTGCTCTTAAATACACTAGTCTCTTAGAAGCAGTCAGAAACATTTTCTAACAGAAGAGCTTGTATTTAAGGTCTAATGTACAGCTGAAACTGAAAATAATAAAAACTTTTTGTGGCTTGTTTTGAGAAAGGATTTGGTCAGAATGTTAGATTAGGTCTGGTTTAGGTTTCTGCAGTTTAAAGGGAAAATGAATCTACCTTCTTTACTTTTCTGATTATTAGACTTTCCAGGCAGGTTATGTAAGAGCTAATATGTTTTCCTGCTACATACTTTTTTGGAAAAATTTGAGTTGTTGATTTAAAAAATAGAATTGAACATATTGTTTACAAATATATTGTGTAATCAGAGTAATTCTAATGCTGCAATAGAATATTTAAGGAACTGGAGATTTTTATAGTGATAATTCATAGATGCTAAAACTGGGACTGATTCTGTGAATGCTTATGTGATACTTTTTTGAAGAAGTTTCAACATAATAGACTAGGCAGGTAGATCAACTTTATAGTGAATTTTATCTGAAATTTGGAAGAACTTCAATCAGAAATGGCAAAGAGGAATGTGGTCTCAACATAGTGTAGCACGTAACCATGCTATTACTGACCTAATTACTTGTTAAACGTAGTTTCTCATGGAATAACTGATCAGTAAAAATAATGCAACTGAAAACTGTTCCATGACTTGAGTTTTAGATTACCATGTTAATGAGCTGTTTCAGAGACTTAACGCTAAGCCTGAACTCTTATGAAACTATATTCTGAAAAATACAGGTATTTTCCACAGTATTTTCTGTTCATTCATCTTTAGGTATAATATTGTAGTGCAGTCAGGTAAGTTGTATTCAGACAGGAAAAATAAAATACCCTTAGCTCTATTCTCCAAGTAACTCAAGGGAGAATGTTGAATTTGTTTTTAAGAGGCCAAGGAAAATGAATGAAAGGGCAAATGGCCTAAGAGATACATGAAAACCCTTTCAGTTAGATTTAGTCAGTGTATACTACTTGTAATCAAAACACATCCATTAATTAAAGCAAAAGAATATTTGCAGCAACTTTAGTTACCAGTGTTTTACATATATCTCTAATGTGGTCTTAGAACTCTCCATAAAGCATAAACAAGCATAATAATAGTGAAGACTTGAACGTTCTGGTAAAAAGGTACTTCTACATTAGTGTGTTGATGGAAGGGGGCCCTATTTGAAATAGGAATTTGGAAATTTTACTTTAATTTCAAGTTAGGAGGTTTTGTAGCTTGTCTGGGTTGTGCTGTTGTGTTTATCTGTTAATAGTTGTGGCTCTTCTGACTTTTTTTGACTTGTAGAACACAACTGAATCTGCTGTTGCTGTGGAGACCTTAGACGATGTACCTGAGCATGTGCTTAGGGGGCTTCCTGAGGACGTGAGGCTCTTCCCATCTGCTGTTGACAAGACACGACTTGGTGAGTGCTATAGCTGTGAAAAGAGAATGAAGATTTATACACTAGCTCACATAAGTTACTGCTGCTGTGAAAGTTTGGTGCCCTCCTGTGCTGGGTAGGGATGATGTCTGGTACATTTATCTGAAATAATTTCTCTTGAAAAGAGTGGACAGCTTCTGAGTTTCTCCAGCATCCCAAGGTGATGTTCCTAGAATGTCAGAACTGGAGCCAAAGGTGGACCAAGATGCAAATAGTTTAGGTTATGAAAATACTAATATGTTACTTCACTGGTTTGTTCTCACCAATAACACTTAACTAGTTTTGTGTTTTGCAGCTCTCTTGCTGTTGCCTCTTTAGAATGATGCATCTCACTATCCGATTAATATGAAAGCTTAATTTATAAGAACAGATTCAGTGCAGACTTGAAAGCTGCTATATGGAGCAAAGTGTTGTTTCTGTAATATGTGCAAAATGCTCAGCTTCTTTTTTAACACAGTTTAACGTGGGAGAACTTTGATGGAAGTCAGAACTGCAGACTAGATAGTTGATGTCAAAAGCTGGTCGTTTGAGGAATAAGCCTGACAATAGCTGCAATGCTGTTAGTAACAGCTTATAAGCTCCTTGGAGCAAGGTTAATCTTTTCTGGTATGAACCTGATCTAGTGTGGTCTGAATGAGAATGTTATGTTTAATTAGCAATTATTTGTCAATCTGTTCTTAGTTTTAGTGCTATAAAATGTGAAATGCATCTGTCCATTTTCAGGTAAATCGTGTCAGTAAATTTGTGGGCAGATGCACATATTTTAACCAATCCTAAATGTTTTTTCCTTCAAAATATACTCTCAGTTTGTTTCACAACTTTTGTGAGGGCTCTATTTGCCTGGCATTATTTCAGAGAAGTAAAACAGGATTTTTATTTTAATAACATGTTTACTCAGCAAAACAGCTGAAATCTTGGACTTTACAATATAAAACCTGTAATGCTCTTATGGTATTTTGAATATCACCTGAAGGATAAGAAAAATCAAGGTTGATTTTTGTCTTCAGAGCTACAGTAGCCCATGAGCAAAGCATGGAACCAGGTAAATGCTTAGAGCTTTCATGATTGAAGTGTGCTTTGGCAAGAGGATTGTTTGAGTTCATTTTAGTGAACCTCAGTTTCCTTATTGTAATCTTAATATTGTACAGTGCTCCCCAGTCTGAGACAGACACATGTAATGATCTTAAGGTCTGTGAGTAGAAGATTTGCTTGAGGTTAGTTTAGATTAGTTTTAACTACTGATATGTATCTCTTCAGGTGTCTGGGCAACAAAGTCAATTTTAAAAGGCAAGAAGTTTGGACCATTTGTTGGTGACAAGAAAAAAAGGTCTCAAGTTAAGAGCAATGTATACATGTGGGAGGTAAGAAACAGCTTGTGAATGGAAAAAGGTATCTGTGACTATGTTACTGTTTTGTATTTAGCCTTTAATTTTTCCAGACATCTTAGAAATAGACATGATGTGAAATAATTGCCATCTATCTATGTCTACCATTACAAATAGTTATTTATAGACACTTGGATTGAGCAACCACTCTGAATTACAAAGCTTTAAACTACCAGCACTTTTTGAAATTACTGTATTAATTTTCTTATAAACTCTCTCTGTATCACAGCTCCCCTTAACAACCTATTGCAGGTATCCCTTCTGCAACTGAGTACAGTCAACTGCTTGTTAGATTAGGAAGATGTGGAATCTCTCATGGAGGCCACAGCATTCCTCCTCATCTAGCTCTTTGGAAACCAGCTTTGTAATGGGACTTGGTTTTGCTTTTGGAGTTTTTGTAAAAAGTTCTTAACTCTTGCAGTATTTCATGTGCTGCTTGTGTTTGGGCTTGCCTTAAAGCAAATACTGTCTGGACAGCTGAATACCTCTAAACTCCACGGATAGTTGTAAGACCTGGATATTATGTACATTTCAAAATATAGGTGTCTTAATCTGGAGTTGAATCCTGTTTGCAGTGTCTTTAAGATAGTTCGTAACTACTTCCAAAGACTTCTTCAGTCTTTCTGAAGACACATACAGCAATGGCTTTAGCAAAATGAATGGTCAAGGAGGGGAGGGATGGAGGAACTGGGGCATAGCATCTTGTGAACCAGATTTTTAGGCTAAAGATACTGATAGTAGTCATCCTTCTGGCCTCTGGCCCACAAGAATTGAATTGCATAAAATACTGGATACACGTACAAAACTAAATGTTAACCTCTGTAAGAGGAATTGATTTAGAACAATTTCCCATAAATGCAAATTCACATTCAGGAAAGTAATAATGTATTCAAGTATAATGTTTGTTGCATTGAGCTAATTTTATCACAAACTCCACTGCATAAGGTATCTCCAATTTTGATCTGGTACAAGAACACTTAGTGAGATTGAATCAGTCAAGTAAATGATTGACCTTGCAATTGTTTTTCTCTGTGCTGGATTCTGAGTGTTCTCAGTGGATGTGTCTTAATATTTTTAAAATTTGTGTTGAGAAATGATAGTCACAAAACAAGCTGTTAAAAAGTTTCGTAGTTTGCAGTGCAGGCGATAATGGGAACCCTTGCTAGATTTCAAAGTAATTGTGTGTTCCTTTAATACTGGTTTTGGAATTAGAAAAAAGCAGCTAAAATGAGACCGCAACAGTTGGCCCCATATGCTGATATTTGAAACTGCTCCAGAATCTTAACTGTTAGAAAATATGGTTTGTAAAAGGATGGTGGTGTGTGGGAGGAGTTAGGTATACAGATCTCCAACTAGGAGAACCACCTTTTCCACAAGAATCCCATTTGTTTCTTTAGTGAAGTTAATCTGAAGAAGGCGGCTTCCAAAAGCTGGCATCTCTAGTCAGTTTTAATAATTTTGAACTGTTGTGCTAGAGGATCATTTTGAAAGAGAGGAGTTGTGTGTCAGTGGATGCTTGCTGTGTCTGAGGAGAGAAATAGAGACTTGAGCATATTTTCATTTTCTGTCAGAGAAAAGCCACAGATAGGAAAATGACAGCAAGCGACTGAAAACTGAGGGAAATGCCGTCTGCCAATTCAGAATGACTGGCACAACTGTGCTGAATGATCTTTATTGTGGTTTACAGGAATCACTTAAAGTTGCAATGTTATATAGAGGAGTTGGAGCTGTTTCCTTTCTCACAGTGCACAAGGCCTTTAAACAGCATTCTGTAAATTAGAAGCTGTAACTGATGAAACGAAATATTTTGTTTCGTGCAAAAACATAGTAAAGTAATATAAAAACATGATAAAGTAACACATTAAAAAAGTAATAATGTTTTGCCATATATTCCATATCTGCTAACTCTTCTACAGCATTTATCAGCTCTTTTCTTCCACTTTAACCAAAAGAATTGCTTTTACAGTCTTGGTCTGTGAAGCTGTGTACACTTTCATATTGCAAGGGCTGGGTGTGCTGATGAACATTCTTTCAGAAGTCAGCTGATGAAATACATGCTGGAGTAGTTTAAGTAAGGGAGATGTTTTCTGTTTGCTTGGAAAGAAACTAAGATGATTTTGGTATATTTATTGAAACTTTACATTTATTGATAAAATTCTATTTTATTAAACCAATGCAAGAGGAATGAAATGTATTAAATGGTTCTTGGTTTAAGCTATTGTAGAAGTGTACTTGAAATTAAAAATAGAAAACAGTTTGAAGAGACTTAGAATTGCTGGTGAAGTAAGTATCAGAAACAATAAAAAAATCAGAAACAATTTCCCATTCTGTGTACCAGCATGGGAAATCTATGCTGAAATCAGAATTGTTGTTTATTCCTTATCTGCAGTGGTGCTAAGTGAATGCTGCAGGAGGTAATGAGCTAGGGAGGCTGGGTTTTGGAAAAGACCTCTTCCAGACAGAGGCTGAAATTTGTAGACTTGACCAAAAGGAAAAAAAGCAAATAATAAGATATAATCAAATTTCACGTGTTTTTCCTTTACTGTTTTTCTAAAAATCTGTGAGCTGCCCAGTACTTCTGAGACATTGTGTACCTGTGAGTGTGCCTGTGTTCTGTGACAGAGTAATGGAAGCGTGATAGTTGCAGTTGCTGAACAAAAATGTAAAGCATCCACTGAGAGCTCTTCTTATAGGCATCTAACTTGGATTATAATAAGAGTGGGAGATGCATAACATGTCTTCAAAGAGAAGCAGAGTTGCCTGTCATCAGAAAATACTGAAGATGTCAGTAACCTTGCTTTATTGCAAGCTGTCTTGAAATGCAAAATAGGAGCTGGTGTTAAAATCTTTTCTCCAAGAACGGAAACCAAAGAATTTACACAGCATCTTGAAACATGTGGAAGTTTATTGACATGGACAATTCTTTACGGTGATCACAACATTTCTGAAAGGTTAAGGTGTTCTTTAATAACCCGAAAAAAGATTAAATACAAATTATGCTTTATCTTTCCCAGTAAATCAAATGCTTCTAACTTCTGTGTAGTTACTTTCCCAATTCATCATATAGTAAAAATCAAAGCTCTATTGCCTTCATATCTTCAAATCAGTAATTTTACTGAATGTAAAATCTAGAGAATAATTTCTTCTTGCTTGCCAAAGTGAAAAGAAAGCATACAATGTTTCAAGTATTTTGGCTTTTGAGCCCAAAACCTTCAGAAAAGGGTTTGCAGGCCAGAAGTTTGTTGGGTTTTTTTTCAAAGTTGTACCAGTTCCACTAAAAAGATTGCAGAAGACCAGAAACACTCCCCCCACTCCCCCAAGTACAACCGCTACTTCTGTTCATATCCTTTCTGTTATCTCTGTCCTTAGATGATGATTCCTATTTTGTATGGCTTTAAACTGTGTAGTGGTTTAGTGCACGTACGCTTCCGTGTTAACATTTATCCATTTGCTTAATGCCATTTTTGTCTCGTAGGTGTATTACCCAAACTTGGGATGGATGTGTGTTGATGCAACTGATCCTGAGAAAGGGAACTGGCTACGCTATATAAACTGGGCACGTTCAGGAAAGGAGCAAAACCTGTTTCCTCTGGAGATCAACAGGACCATATACTACAAAAGTTTAAAGGTATCAATGTCTGAAGAGTCAGTTACTGCTCTGTTACCTTTTATTATTAATACTTTTCCCTCCCTTTATTCAAATCCCATTTAAAAAATATTTGTATTAAACAGATTTTGAAACATTTTATGAAGTATAATTAAAATATTGTAAATGTTACATTTCATTGGTCTAAATTCTTCTGTGCCAGTACAGGTGACGTTAAGATCTACTGTTAAAATACAGCATTTGTGTGGACACTGAGTCTGTCTTGTTGGTTAATGATTTGCTGTAGCACCAAATTTGATACAAACTATTTTCCTATTTTTTTTAGATACTGAGACACTTTCTGCTGAGGATTTTTTGCAGAAATTAGCTATTATATTGTGTTTGCATTTTATGACAAATACTGCTTGTCAAGACACTTTTTTTATGTAGCTTAATGAAACAAATTTTCCGGGTTTTATACCATTCCAGTCTTACTCAGGGAGGGGCAGGAAAAAGGGTTTAATTCCTGGGGCATTGTATCTCCCAAACCAAGAAAAAAAAAATGGTTTAACTGTAAGTAATGGTAGAGGATGTTAGTGTTAGAATGTTGTGGCTATAAAGTATTATCTGAATCTCTGATCAAGAGCCTCCTAGCAGTGAGTATATATAGCTTGACTTTGTTTTTATTTAAAATGCTTTTGTGGTTTTTGGGTATATGCAGCCTTGCTGCTACACTATTACTGTTTCTTACATTTCCTTCTAAGGCTGACAACATCTGTAAGTAACTGATATTCACTTAATAAAAGAATGAGCTGATACCATGCAGTTTTGAAGTTTATATGGCAGTACAGCAATATGTAATCTTCTATTTTAGGTCACTCAAACTACATTGAAAAAAACCAAACTTCTAAACATTTTCTCAACTTTCTAATACCTTTTGAGACAGCATTCACGTAGAGGTTTGCTACTGCTAGCCCGACTGTTGACTTCACTGTTTATTCACTGAGGGCAAGCTCCTGATGTGAATCTGTAGCCAGCTTAGATTTCTCTAGATACTTTATTTTGGGATGCCTCTGCCTTTGCCCATAGTCACGGTAGTTCATTAACTAAGTGTGCTTTTGGAGTCATTTTGACATTTTAAATTTCTCTCGTTTGAACCTTGTCTGCAAGGTTTTAGTCCTGATAAAGACAAGCATTCACATATTTCAGATTTGTTTTCTGCTGGATAATATTGCACTTCAGAAAATAAGTGTACCACTAGAAGAGGCTGAGTGCTGCTGACAGAATAACAAATACCTTGCCTCAGCATCTGAAATATCCTTTTGTTCTTTTGACTGTCTTCTCCTGCAACCTGATGAATTTTATCCCAGTAGGTCTTGCCAACAGGAGCATGGTGCCAAGCAGCTCTTTCTGAAGACTGTTAGAACAGCCTATAAGCATCATTTTTCCTAGTTTCAAAATCCGTCTGGGATTTTTTGCAGTGTGAGATTTTGAGTTTGGGATGCAAAGGGCTTCTTCAAAGTACTGTCTTCAGCAGGCTTTATTTGCCCCTGCAGCCACCACTTAGCCACGTGTGTGCTGGGCCTTTCCCGGTGTGCTGAGGGACTGTTTATGAGCTTCAGTTCAGTGTTGGCAATACCAGTCCCAGGCAAGCTTCTGGAAATTCATGCTGGTGTCTGCACTGGATGCTACTTGGAGGGAGCGTTACATCAGAAATAGTGTTACCTTCAGGCTGCCTCTGCGCAGAGGCTTGCTGCTGTTCCTCTTAGAGGCCAGTGTGGAAGCAGTAGCTCCGAGTAGTTTTGGGCTTGGATGTTGCACAAAGTGAGGTGCTGGGATCTGAGCTGGCATAGGACCACCAGGTTGTTTCTGCCCTGTAGACTTAGTTCCAGGAACTCAGTGTGGACATGCTTGAACTAGTTCTGCACGAGCCAGGTTGGGATGGGTTGTATTAGTAATCTCAGTTTCATGCTGCTCAAAAGTAACGTGTTTCCAGGAGCAAGATAGTCCAAGAAGCATTGCAACCATGGTTCAGTGGTGCATGCCTGCTGTTCCTTGATTGTCACTACATCTATTACACAGGTAACTTGGCAGGTAATTTAAGAGGTGGCAGTAGAAATGTCTGAGTCGCTTCACTATGCAAAACTAGGTTATAATCTATAGCTTAACTTTGCTCCATATTGGGGAAAACAACCTCACAAATCCATAATAATGAATGTTTGTTAAAAGTGCATATTGATATTCCAATTATTTTTTGAACCATCTATTTCAGTATATTTTCCCACCTTTTAGAGAAGTGATATGTAAGGAAAATTCGGATCTTGCTAATCTGTAATGATTTTTGAAGTGAAAGCTTGATGTGAATTTGGAGAGTTTTCACTGCCATTAAACATTCAGCATTCAGTCAGCATATTGATAAATCAGGTCAAGGTTTAGAAAGTCACATTTTGTGGTTTTTTTAATTGCACAAGTAATTTATTAAGAGTATTTAAAATCCAGTATTCTGTTTACTTTCTTGATCATTCCAAGACTATGAAAACCAGAAGAAGGCATTAAGAAACCTTATTTTATCTAGTGTTTTGTAAACTTATTTTTCTTTATCTAAAATGACAAATTTACAGTAACCAGGCTTTTTAAATAAAGTTAGTGTGAAGAAATCAGAGGTTAAGCTGCAAGTGACTGATAGCGCAGGAGACGTATGATGTAGAGGAGGAATTTCGAATGTGTGATCTCAAGGGCAAGTTACCGCATTAAAGCATTTAAATATGGTCTGTTGTATCAGTTTTTATTATCCTATACCTTTGAAACTGTAGGGAAATTCATACCCTGGGAAAAAATTGTCCTGTTTTCTACTTTTCTTTACAAAATGTAGTGGTTGATATGCCTGCTTTTTATTTAAAGGTTTGTTTTTGTCTCACCTCCTGTATCAGAGATGATGTTGGTCTTGTAGAGTCCGTACCAGTCTTAGATTAACATCACACCTTACTGGTAACTGAGACAAAAGAAAGCGTGTAATAAATAAGACCTTAAATGTCCTTCTCTTTTGGTGTGTATTTCCAAACTCTTGTAAATTTACTAGCCCAGGTATGTACACATGGTTCCTTCCTGATCTTTATCATAATTCATAAATTTAGGGGAATTCCATTAGGTGATAAATAAACAGCAAAGTTATTATTTACCCCCAAAGGAGAATTGGAGTGGATTGTATGTCATTTTGTTCTGCTTTACCTTGAAGCATATAAAATACTGTCATGGCTATTTAATTTTTTTCCCAAGGTTTTCTTCAGCTTTTTGTGGGTTTCTACTTTATAAGTTAAACAGGCTGATTTCCAAGCTTCATTGTTAAGATAAGCAAAGTCCAAATTTACTTGGTGTAAAAGAACCTCAAAACTGCAGAGAGCTTTAACTTCCCTGTTCTCTGCTGTAAATGAATAGTAATAGCATAGAACTTTTAAGAGAGCAGAAGCAAATATTTTTCGCTTCCATCTTCTCCTCTTCATCTTTACTGAAGGACTGAGGAGATTAGTAGGCTGCTTTGCATATGCTTTCCCCGGGATGCATATATAAGAGTTGTGATATTTTGTGGAAACAAACTCATTATGGAGTTTCAGAAGTTCTTCCTGCCTCTCCTAATGAAATGAGGTGGTTGAATAGTGTTGTTCTGCACATACTCCAGGACTTTGTAATTCTTGAAGTGAAATTGCAGTGAAAAAGTCTTTTAAATAAGCTTGGCTGTGTAACTGTCCTTGATTAAGGTGAAAGGAATTTGTTTCTAAAAGAATGTTTTGTCAAACAAGTTTATAATAAGAATCTCCTTGTTGAGTAGGAACACAACGTAACAGAGGGTTGTACAGTGTCAAAGTACTGATGCCACTAACTGTCCACTGTGGTTACCCTGGGGGGAGATAACGCCACATCCAGGAGCAAAAGCACAGTATCACAGTAAAATGCACTGTCTGTGCAGAGATCAGACAGGCAAATGCCTCAGTCTGTACAAGACACTAGACAATCTGTGCTAGAACTTCTTAGGATATAACTTGTTAGGGTAGTACTCTTGACAGTAACAAATTTTGAAATGTCTTTAAACTTTCTGAATAGCAAATATTCAGATTAAGGGATGCTAAATGTCACAGTTAAAACATGAAGCACCAAAAAGCATGTGGCAGTTATTAACCTAATAAGCCTTTCCAAAATTCATACCTTTTTCTTTAACCAAGCTATCCTAACCCGACACTACTACACAAACAATTTGTAGGTAATAGTTTGAAGGAGGTTGGTTTTTAGAGTTGTTACTAGAGGGTGTCACCAGTAAGAGATGGCCGTGGGTTCTCTAGTGCTAGGGCACTGGTAGAATTGCCACTTGGTCAGTGTAGTCCTTTTCTCTCTCATGTTGCTAGTGAGGGAACTGTTTAATTGTCTGGGTTTGGAGCTGCTGTTCTTCATTTTAGAAGTACAAGGTTTGAGGGCTTAATTTAGATTCTAGATTAGTTACACCAAAACTAAATTCATCAAGTTTGAATGTTAGTTCCAGCCATGCAGCTAACAAATTACATGCTCATGATCATCCTGTGTTTGCATTGCCTAAAATTTTTGTCAGCTCTTTTCTCTGAGTTTGTATATTGTTTAGATGGTAAGTTGTTTGCATCAGACAACTCTTCTTCAGTCCTTGCTGCTAAATACTTGCAAAATGGGACCATGCAAATAGGTTTACCAGCGTTTATCCTATCAGGCCTCCAGAACTGTTAAGGAAGCCAAACCGTAGGCTTTGCTTACATTATAACTTAAACACTTGCATCTCTTGTTGTTCCAGTGTCTGGGGGTATAAAGATAACTATAACCTTTATCGAGTGCTGCGAGACCTAAAAAAAGAAGTGCTTTAGAAGAAACAAATATTACTATTGTTCTTGATACAAAAATTCCCTTTGGCTTCAGACTTGAAATAACAGTGTAGAGATACCCTTTGCTCGAACATAATGGCTCTAAAAATAGTATTTCCACAAGCCCCATGTTCATTAAGCCCTGGAGAAAGGGGGATTGAAGTTAAGGTAAAAGAAGGCATTTAAGTTGATTTTTCTTGGTTTTGGATAGAATGCTTCAGGAAATGGAGGGATAATTACAAAGATTTTAAAAACTGGATCCAAATACCTCTTTAGCCTGCAAGCTTGGGGACTCACTGATCTGAGTCTGATAATGTTTTAAGGAGCATGTGGAATAATCAGAGAAACTAGTATTGCTCAGTTTGGTGACAGTCCTGGGAATAGGAGTAGTAATTGCAGTGATGTCTGCCGGGCTGATTTGATCTGTCCTGTGCATTTTTTTTGTTGGATTAAAAAAACAGAAATGATAAAATTGGAACGGCAAACAAATCTTTCGTGATTGTGATCCAGTGGATCTGTTAGACACGTAGTAATTACCTGTTTTCCCCTGTGTTCAACTCTCTGCCGCAGACTTTTCCTGTATCTTTAGCTTTTCCTCTAAATACCAACTGTGGCGGATGACTGACCAGTTTCACTCATTATTTAATGCTTTGTGCGGGGTAGGTGTGTGTAGCGCGAGTGATGCTGATAGCTCCCTGACAAGAACGGACCACGGGGGTTTCGGTGCCGGCAGGTCAGCCTGCGTGGATCTCAGTCAGTGTCACGGTTTGAGACAAACCAAAATCGGGGGGTTTCCAGCTCGAAGTTCCAGATCTGCTTACGAGCTGTGTAACTAGTCAGTGGGGCTGGCGGCAGGGGGGGCAGGGG